ATGGGGAGTGTATGGTATGATGGTATGATGGATGCATGAGCCTGTTATGGACATCGCTAAACACACGAATCTCAGTTGAATAGAATAGGATCGGTCAAGAAAAGACGTGGATCTGTGAAAATGAAAACCACAAAAAAAATGTGACGTTGTGAAAAAAATAAAAATTAAACGCTAACATAAAAGGATCAGTGTGAATGCCGATTCGGGCAGTTCGGTGCGGGGTGGGTAATTCACCACAAAGACAAAACGCAAAAAGTGACGTCAGTTCTTCATTACGCGAGAGATCGCTCTGACACAGTCAGACGTCCTAGCCGTCTTATACAGCAGGACTTTTATTAGGCTCTAGAACAGGCTGTGGAGAGCGAAGGGCTATAGTTCTATGAGCTATGGGGTTTTACGTTTAGAGGAGGGATACTGCAGAGGGTCTTTGACATTACCTCAGTTTCACGCAGCGTGCGTATTCGACCTAAAATTTATAGATGGACAGATACTTTTCTTAACTTAGCAAGGTATTTAGCACGCCACTCAGTCCGCTGCGCAGAGTGCTAATGCAATCTAAAATCATAAGAGAAGATTAATGCAGGAACATAGATCAGAATCCCAGCCAAACACTTATTGGTATAATGCTTCATGAAGTAGATGTAATACGATTATATGGGTGTATATATTATATTATGTTCAGAATGTGATAATAGGGATTCAACTATTTATTACTTCTGATATAGCAGTAGAAACACCGCGTATAGAACCATTGATTTTTCCAAGTTAGCTCACATGATTCTTATATTAAAGGATGGTCTTACTGAAAAAATTAGGCTCAAAAGCGTTCTTAATAGGTTCTTTAATATGTTTCTACTTTTAATATGTAGTAGCTGAAACGCCGGCGTAGTGGACTTGATGATGTCATGTTACCAGTACAGTAGTGTTATGTGTAGGTGTTATATGGAGGAGTTTAAGTTGTTTGCACATGTTTGTTTTTTTATGGTTGAGATGTCAATACAATAATGTACATAATATGCTTACACGTAACACATTAATCGACGGTGTTCTTTTATTGCTAGGTTTTACTGTATATGTAAATAATTGGGCAGGTACTGTTGTTCATAAGCACATCCAGGGGATGCGGCATTGTTTATTGGTTGAGCATTGGCATTTGGGGTCATTGGCATTGTTATTGCATCGATATTGTTGAGTCTCGTCTTTTTATTTCCTGTGTTTCTTTTTAAGTCTTCATCTGCATGGATAAATTAAGAACCTTTACTTTTAAAATCTTTAGCTATTAAAACGCAGGTTCTTATGTAAGGGGTCTAAATTGGGAAATTTTTAACCTAACATGTTCTTAAATCTTATGTTCTTATACGCGGGTTTTTTTACTGTAATATATGAATATACATACTTTGTTTATGATAAGAACAAGAATTACAGAGAGTGAAGTTTCTTAAACGTAGTGTGAAGTTGACGGCACGGGAGAATGCCAAGGCTATAAATATTACCAAAGCGGCATGCATCCTTGATACAATGTGGTTTAAGTAATGGCATATTCTAAATTTCCAAGCGGATACTAATATATGTCACATACCAATTACAATACTGACTAGTTATATAAATATTCCTTTCGGTGAGATTTCATTTCCATCACCCGTATTCAACTCGAATCTCCAATATCGTTCCCCGTCTCTACTGGCCGTCACATCTCCCGTATGGCACTCCGCATCAGACTGTATAACGGAAGACCAGGAATTGTTGACATTTACCGATAGCTGTAGTTAAGAGTGCTGCCAACTGTTGATTTAGCAGCAAGCTTTGCACGAAAGCAGCTTTCGTGCAACTGGCTGCACTACCACAATGCGTAACAGAAATCATTCTAATGATAATATCGAAGAACTTGCGCAACTTTTGGAATGTTATTTTTGTAAGTCACAGCTCAACTGTTTTGTAATCGAATGATATTTTATTAGCGAAAATCTGGTATGTTGTTATCAGCCAGAAGCTGGCAAGTTCTAGCAAGGCTGGTTATGTGTTAATATTACAAAAAATAGTTAGTAATTACGCAAAGCCATTTCTTAAAGTTGTTGTTTGCTATACTAGGTCAGGAGGCGAGTTCACACCATCCACTATTTGTTGTACCAGGTGTTAACTTGTTGATTATCACCATTGTGCCAAACATTTTTATGGGCTACGGAACCTATTCACATTCACAAAACAGGATGTGGATACAAGCTAACATTTACAGAGGCAAATTTCAAAGTATCCTTTTCACATAAACACTTTCAGCACAGTGCCAGCTAAGAAGACACATATTCGCTGATACACAAGCCCAAACATAGCTACATCTGTTATCTATAGCAACAACCCCCCAAATAATAGGCCACTTTGATATATATGATTGTGGAATTAATTAAATGTGTTGTGTAGAGTTGGTCACCACGCTTATTTCGAAGTAAATTATATCATCATGCCAGCCGCTTACTTTAGAGTAAATCTTATACATGTCTCTCATGTTGTTGGATATATATCTAAATCGCGTACTGCCATTAGACAGGCCAAATAATCACAGAAATTCAGGAACTGGAGTAACATTTCTGTGAGAATGAATAAACCAGTTAATACTAATACGGATGGATTTCCAGGCAGCTAAACATGGAAATTCTGCAATGTATCCCTATCAAGTCTTGCTATCCCATCTCTAGGTCTATAAAATCTCTACTACACATTATTAAGCGCCAGGATAAGTCTATATATTAAGATAATATTTGAAATGGCAATAACTGCTTCCAACCTGCATGTAAAGCTGATGTTCATTATCAGCAATTGCAAACAAATACATAATGTGTTGATATTTGTGCAATCGAATATTAAAGATTTGAAGGACACCCATTAACTGCTATCACTGGCATGCTGACGTTAACCTCTAAAAGCATTACGAAGGAAAGTCTCGTCTGTTTTGAAGCTAGATATAATTGGCTAGTGTAAGACCAGTTGGCACAGGGAAATAATAATATAGCTGATGCGAGTCAAAACCGATCTGACATTCACCGTTTTATGCTTGGCTGGTACTCGGTGTAGACATGAACATACACATGAAGCGGCTTGCTGGGTTCTCCAAGCTTTTTGCATTATTAGGGCATGGCGGGTTGCTGCTTTACGGTGCCTAGTTGCAAGATGCCGAAGACTACAGTTTGCGTGCTAGGGGGGTCCGGGGGCTATGATATTTAGCATGGCGGCTATGATATTAAAGTGGCGGGTGCATTTTAGGATGGCGGGGCTCGACGATAGCCTGGCAAGCCGCCAAGCTATAAGTGCTCTTGGAGAACCCTGGGTTGCATGGCTGAAAGTTTAACAGCTATTAAATTTGCAGTATCTACGTGTACGGACATCCATTACAAAGCTCAGCACAGATTCCCAAATCCACGTCACGGTTAGGCTACGCCCCCTTTCAAATCGTTGATTTTACTGGATTTACTATAACTATTGCTTCAAAAGTTACAAAAACACATTTTTTTGATAAAATACCCAAAGGTAAGTAATATTATGGTAAAAACTGATTGTTTATTGTTTTTTACTAAAAAAATATATAGTTGGGTTCACATAAGAAATACATGACGATCCGTGTAGCCTGGGAGCTGGGCGTCTGGTAACCAGACGCGTAGCTACGGCCTATTAAATTACACTAGCTCATATATATATGAAAGTAGAAACTTCCCTACTTCACATTATTGGTGTCAGATATAGCTAATACGTACTGCCTGTGATGTTGTGTAGATGATAGAACTGTAAACATTGTATGCATGTCATATCAACAAGTGTGTGCAAATGAATATATATTAATTTGCACACACTTGTTGATATCATATGACATGCATACAATGTTTACAGTTCCATCATCTACACAACATCACAGGCAGTATGTATTAGCTATATCTGACACCAATAATGTGAAGTAGGGGAGTTTCTACTTTTTATCTGCACGAAAGATGTGCAACGTGTTAAAACCTAAAAGCAAATTTTACAGCCTTGAACATAAGTAGAGTAGTTATTAATGTGCCAAGTGTAAACATAGACCATGTATTTCATTAGACTGCAGTTACTTTTGCAAGCCTGCTATCAACATATTCTCACACAGCAAAAGCTTAATGTCAAGTTGGTTTACGCCAGAGGTTCGATGCCTAATCAGTCTCATGCAAGACATGTTAAAGAATGTTGGCATTTGTTGCTAGCAGCAACAACGCAAAATGTTTTCTCACACTCATGGCACATTTGTTTGGTATAAATCCCTTAGATTACATCCAAAGGGCAGTGATCTTCCCAAATTCATACGTTTCTTAAACAAACGTTCACTCAATTATGACCCATCACATGGTAGTTCATAACTAACATCAAACATTGATCGACTGGTTTGACATGCACCCATATTAGACATGCCAGAATCCACCCCACAAGCAGCAATCACGGATCCAGACTAGTCACACCATTCAACATGATTACAACCAGTGATCTGTCCAATAGCACATGTATGTATGACCTTATTTAAACTCTTAACTCTGTAAATGTCACTGGAAAACTGCGTCACTACAGGTGTGTGCTGACGCCGACAAAAAGTCACTAGAGACATTGTGTGGACTTACGTATTCAAACCTGTCTTTTCCCAGCTGCACGAGAATGTGAAGGAACCCGAGCACGGAGAACCACGCGCACCAGAGCACCATCTCATTCATGTACTGAACATTCATGACACCGAACACAAAGATGAATTTGTAGAACACGAAGTTCCAGAACTTGTCTTTGATGTGCTGAAAAAGACGTCCAAAGCACAAACATTATGATTAGCCAATTTCAGTTTTCACCTTGATCGCCTAATAAATTCAAAATATCTGTGTCGCCATGTATGTTCTAGCGTGTGTTGCTTTCACTCAGATTACGAGTTGTGTAATTTGTATATTAATCATTCTATTTAATCTGTACAACTTGATATTACAGCTATAATATTATTCTGAATGACAAGTTATGAATCTGCACTTGAACACTCAACAGGATCTGACAGCATACCTACATCTAATTACAGAGCATTTGTTGTCATGTCAGGTGCACTCTTACATTACTTAAGTAGTATAAAAGAAACTGCCAAACATGAATATAATAAAAAAGAAATACAATAGAAACAGAAGAATTGGGAAACACCTGGCATGGAAAAGCCAAATGTTCCAATAGGTACGGAACACATAGTAACTCACCTGCTGTTCACTAACTCGCAGGTCACCAAAGACAAGGCGTTGAATACCCTTGCCAAGCAAAATAAGACAACAATATGCCATGTTGATTAATGTCTGAAATATAAAGGAATAACATGTATAGCTCTGTATAAAGGTAGCCTCATTAATACATAACAACTCATCGTGAAATGTAACCACACCATTACAATTTCCAAACAAACACTTTAAAAAAAGCGCAACCAATTTACCGACACATATTTCAATCGCCAAATGTTATTTGTCCATCGGTTTTGAAGGTGCAAGTTGTGTAGGCCGGTAGTGGTACCAGTCTAGTACTGTGTTTCCTGGGACACCAACCTAATTAACTGTGTTTTTTTACTGATGCATTACAACTCCTGTAATAAGGTTCATCACACCACAGTAGGCATGTTACATAGCTGGAACACACATTGCTGCATAACATAGCATTGGTTCAACGTAACTATACTTCTACACAGAGTACTACAACTCACTTTACTGATGGCAAGGAGCTCGCAAGCTTAGTTACGTTGAACCAATGCTATGTTATGCAGCAATGTGTGTCCCAACTATGTAACACGCCTACTGTGGTGTGATTAACCTTATCGAAGTGGCTATATGCCCGGCAGCCGGGCACGGTCTTCGATTTCCTAAATGCCCGGAAGTTTTTAATTTTCGGTGATTTCTCAAGTAAACAGTGTACTACGTGATCCAAAGTATTCTACATTTGTTTAGAAATGTCAAGCAATTTTCGTTAGAGCTGTATATTCGAACTAGCCCAATTCTCCTAGCTTCGGATCATCGAACGAACGAACTTGCAATCGACACTTGGAAAATATCCGACGGCTGCCGGGAACGGTCTTCGGTTTCCTAAATGCCCGGCAGTTTTTAATTTTCGGTGATTTCTCAAGTAAACAGGAAGGTTAGGGTTAGGGTGCCGGCTGCCGGGCATATAGCCACAGCGTAACCTTATTACACGAGTTGTAATGCGTCAGTAATAAACACAGTGGAAACGCCTACTGCAGTACGATTAACAAACTAATCAATATAAATAATTATTATTTAGTGATACTTTCACTGAAACTGAGTGCCAAGTGGCGCTGAAGGGGTCGTTGTCGTATAATAGGGTACTACATATAAGTACCCGAGGTACATACATGTATACATAAATGTAATATAATGCTAGTCTAGGGAGTCGCCTACGCCTACTCCCTAACCATATCAGATAGTTAAATATATGTAGTAGTACTAGTAGTACCCTATACGACAACGACCCCTTCAGTCCGAGTGGCCGTGACAGAGGCCGACCTACCCAAATACACCAAGGATCATCAACCATCACACCAAGAAATGTGATTACAGAGTCTGTTGTATTGCTGGGTTGGAACTCGACAGAGTCCGTAACGTTTGACGCATTTTTCCTATCGCTGTCAAACACGCTTTCTGGTTCTTCCAACACTTGCACCGTAACTTGGTGCGCATGAAATACGGCCGACGCTAGAAGCATCAGACTTAGCATTGTGTAAGTCTTCATACGCGGTAGCGGCATCCGGTCTAGAAACATCATAGGCATCCTGACTGTATGGTGGGCGACTCTTTACAAACTGGTGCAGGGAATCCTTGTCTATGCTGATGTGTTATGCGATATTAATCTAACCGTTAAGCTAAGCAAACAACAACAACACAGTTATGCGCCATTCAGATGGTTACAAATCTACATAACCCAACCTGGCCCAATGACATCTATCCATTTCTGTGTTTGTGCGCAGGAACTACCTCCTGGGACTACATACAATAATATCACACCGACAGTTAAAAAATAGTATGACTTGAATTAAAGCAATATCGTATATATTTACACAAAAAACAGGACAACTATGTATATATATGGTAGTTAGACACCACCATAAAACTAACAAAAAATAATTATCTTTATCGCGTATTAATACATAAATCCTGTTTACCAGGAATTCCCTGTAGGCGGCGATGCGTTCGCCTCCTACAAAACAAGTCAGGCCGAAGGCCGAAGGCGTTGAACTTTGTACGGCAGAAAATAGAGGTAATTTCAAAATAGAATAGTATGCTGTTACACACGTGAAAACAACTGACAGCACCAAACAAAGTTCTAGGATTGTCAAAGCATTCCCTGATGTCACAGTCCATATTAATACAGAGTAAGTTCATACGACGCAGACTCACTAGCACGCTTACTCTTACTCAGTCTTACTCGAGTCTTACTTAGTCTTAGACAGTTGTATTTGTAGCCTACCAGTGCACAGCCACACAGGAACTGCCACTTGGAAGTTGGAACGTCTCAATAAAAAAGGCAGTGGCTACGGGTACGGTAGCCGTATCTTAATGTCTCGAGGCTACGGGTACGGGAGTCCATTCGCTTTCATACTTAAAGGCATAATTCGACCATCGATTATGCAAAGTTGACGAATGCTACAGTAAAGGCCAAGACACACTGCAGCGACAGCGACCGACCGTAACGACAAACGACAAAGTCGCGGCGACTGGCGCAGCCACACTGCAGCGACAGCGACCGACCGTAACGACAAACGACAAAGTCGCGGCGACTGGCGCAGCCACACTGCAGCGACAACGACCGACCGTAACGACAAACGACAAAGTCGCGGCGACTGGCGCAGCCACACTGCAGCGACAACGACCGACCGTAACGACAAAGTTCACCCAGCACTCACCACAGTGC